AGACATCACCCCCACAGCAACGTGGCCCGATAGTCTCCCCAGATGGAATGAATCACTCTCTTGATTTTGAACCTTCACAGCCTGTTACTCACATAGTGGCTAATTTCTGACCTATGACACCTTGCACAGGTGTAGAAATGGTCCCTCCTGGGCAGGGCAGAGGGTGGCTGACTCATCTGGTTTTCCCAGGAGAGCAAGACTAGCCCCACAAGGCTGCTGCTTAGCCCCCTTCACTGAATCAGTTACTTTTAAAATTCAGTTTCTTAGGGATTAAGTTACTGAGGTCTGTGAGGAAACCAGTCCAACCAGTTACACCCTGCAAGCTTTTCCCTTGGTTAGTGCCTGAGCCAATCTGTTTTGTCGACAGGTCGGCCAGCCCCTCACGCCATGTGACTATGGAGTTTCTTTAACTCGACAAAGACTGGGAACATTTGGGAAAAACATTTTAAAACATATTTTATCAGTTTATTTTATATTTTATTAGTATATGTTAATTATAATGGTTGAGTTATGGCATTTTTATAGATACATAAAATGTATTTTGATTATATTCACCCTCCATCGAGCTCTCTTCTTGCCCTCCTGTGGTAGCCGGTCCCTTTCCTCGGTCTAGCTAATCACTGTGGTAATGTGTGCGTGTGTGCGTTCGTGCGTGCGTGCGTGCGTGCGTGCGTCCCAAAGCTCAGTGAGCTCCATCTGGGTGACTTATAGGAGCCATGGATGACGTGGATGACGGCTTATTTACCTGAGCATGGCCACCTTATGGCTACATCACTAAAGAAATCTCATTTCCAGCAACCCACAGCTCCTCAGGATGGGTGGCGGCCACCTGAGCTCCTCCCTGCTCTCCCACAGGGTGCCGATGATGGGCTGTGGCCTGTGACCTGGAAGACTGAGCTCTACAACAGTCCCCTCGTACTTCAGCTCCTGTGTTTTTCAGTTTGCTCTTTAGCGTGTTACCTTGGAGGGCGTACATAGACATCCTGTTTGTGGTCTCTGCAGTTACACCTACCTACTGCAAATAGAGGCTGGTTTTGCTTTTTGTTTTGGTAGATCTGGATGGCCTTGGACTCACAGAGATCTACTTGCCTCTGCCTCCCTAGTGCTGGGATTAAAGGTATGTGCCACCATACCTGAAGGAAAAAATAAAAAAAGAAGAAGAAGAAGCTTCTTTGAGCAAAGCTAATGGCAGCGCTGGCTGGAGAGACAGGTTAGCAGTTACAAATGCTTACTGCACTTGCAAAGGACCCAGGTTTGGTTCCCAGCACCCATCTCAGGTGGCTCACAACCACCCATAGCTTCAGTTCCCGGGGATCTGATGGGCTTCTGACTTCTCCCTGTTATACAGATGGGTTGCACATAAACTCAAGCAGACACATATATACATATACACACATAAAAATCAGTTAAGTATCTTTTAGGTATATACCCAGGAGTGGTATAGCTGGGTCCTCAGGTAATGCTATGTTCAATTTTCTGAGGAACTGCCAGACTGATTTCCAGAGTTGTTGCACCATCTTGCAATCCCACCAATCCCACCAACAATGGAGGAGTGTTCCTCTTTCTCCACATCCTCACCAGCATCTGCTATCACCTGAGTTTTTGGTCTTAGCCATTCTGACTGGTGTGAGGTGGAATCTCAGGGTTGTTTTGATTTGCATTTCTCTGATGACTAAGGATGTTGAACATTTCTTTAGGTGCTTCTTAGCCATTTGAGATTCCTCAGTTGAGAATTCTTTGTTTAGCTCTATATTCCTTTTTTTTTTTTTTTTTTTTTTGAGACAAGGTTTCTCTGTGTAGCCCTGGCTGTCCTGGAACTCACTCTGTAGACCAGGCTGGCCTCAAACTCAGAAATCTGCCTCTCTCTACCTCCCAAGTGCTGGGATTAAAGGCGTGCGCCACCACCGCCCGTCTATATTCCATTTTTAAATAGAGTTATTTGGTTCTCTGGAGTCTAACTTCTTGCATTCTTTGTATATATTGGATATTAGTCTTCTCTCGGATATAGGATTGGTAAAGATCTTTTCCTAATCTATAGGTTGCCATTTTGTCCCATTGAAAGGACAGGATGCTCTAACATATAACAAGGACATGTGCTCCACTATGTTCACAGCAGCCTTGTTTATAATAGCCAGAAGTTGTAAACAACCCAGATGTCCCTCAAGAGAGGAATGGGGACAGAAAATGTGGTACATTTACACAGTGGAGCACTACTCAGCTGTTAAAAATAACGACTTCATGAAATTCGCAGGCAAATGGATGGAACTAGAAAATATCATGCTGAGTGAGGTAACCTAGTCACAAAATAACACACATGGTTTGCACTCACTGATAAGTGGATATTAGAAATAAAACTTCGAATACCCATCATGTAACTTACAGACCATTTGAAGTTCAAGAAGAAGGAAGACCAAAGTGTAGATGCTTCAGTCCTACTTAGAAGTTAGAACAAGCTGGGCGGTGGTGGCGCACGTCTTTAATCCCAGTACTTGGGAGGCAGAGGCAGGCAGATTTCTGAGTTCAAGGCCAGCCTGGTCTACAGAGTGAGTTCCAGCACAGCCAGGGCTACACAGAGAAATCCTGTCTTGAAAAACAAACAAACAAACAAACAAACAAACAATCAAAAAAGAAGGGAGAACAAAATAATCACCAGGGTAGCGGATGTGAGGGACTTGGGAGGAAGAGAGGGAAAAAAGGGTGAGCAGGATCAGGTATGGGAGGAGACATACAGAGATGTACAGAGGGTCAGGAAATTTAACAGAGGTGTGTAGCAATGGAGGATGGGGAGCTGAGGGTAGCCACCAGAAAGTCCAGATGCCAGAAAAGCAAGAGGCTCCCAGAACCCAACAAGGAGGATATCAGCTGAAATACCCAGCAAAGGGGAGAGAGAACCTGTAGAGACCATATCCAGAGGTTAGGCACAACTCCCGGTTGAGGGATGGGGCCACCCACCTTCTCACAAATTTTACCCAGAATTGCTCATGAGTAAAGGAAATACAGGGACAAAGAGTAGAGTAGACTGAAGGAAAGGTCATCCAGAGACTGCCTCACCTGGGTATCCTTTCCATATGCAGTCACCAACCCCAGTCACTATTGCTGATACCAAGAAGTTCTTGCTGACAGGAGCGTGGTATAGCTGTCTCCTGAGAGGCTCTGTCAGAGCATTACCTATACAGATGCGGATGCTGGTAGCCGACCATCGGACTGAGCAGGGGACCCCCATGGAGGAATTAGGAGAAGGACTGAAGGAGCTGAAAGGGATTGCAACCCCATAGGAAGAACAACAATATCAACCCACCAGACCATCCCAGAACTCCCAGGGACTAATCCACTAACCAAAAAATACACATGGAAATCCATGGCTCCGGCTGCATATGTAGCAGAGGATGGCCTTGTCTGGGCATCAATGGGAGGAAAGGCCTGTGAAGGCTGGATGCCCCAGCGTAGGGAAATGCTAGGGTAGTGAGGTGGAGTGAGTGGGTGGGGGTGGGAAGCACCCTCATAGAAGCAGGGGCCTGGGAGTGGGATGGGGGTTTTCGGAGGGGAAACCAGGAAGGAGGATCTGAAATGTAATTAAATAAAATAACCAATACAAATGTTTAAAATCAGTAGGTAATTACAGCTTTTAGAAAATCTGGCAGTAGGACTAACCCATGGGAAGGTGCTTTGACTGGCACGTCGTGCCCATGTGAAGCTTCTCCACTAGAGGGTATGACCCACAGCCATGGGCTTTTAACCTGGTTTAGGATATTAGATGTAAATTCCCTCTGTGGAGTTGGCCTGGATCCCCGTTAGAGTGTGGTTGCTTTCTCCAATAAACAGACTTGCAGCCCTTGCCCCAGTGAGCAGACTCTGCTGGGACGGGCCTAATATAGAATGGACTTTGCTGATTGTGCACCACTAAATATAACATGCTAAAGGCGCTGATGACAAGCCTGGGTAGTCACATGCCTTTATTCCCAACACTCAGGAACATCTCCATGTGTTCAAGGCCAGGCTGGTGTACATAGTAAGACTATTGACCATTAAGAAGAAGGAAGAAATGCTAGGCAGTGGGTGGCACACCCCTTTAATCCTCCTCTTCTGGAGGCAGAGGGAGGAAGATCTCTGAGTTCAAGGTCAGTCTGGTCTACAGAGTGAGTTCCAGGAGCAAGGGCTACAAGGAGAAACTTGTCTCAAAAAAGCTTAAATAGCCGGGTGGTGGTGGCGCATGCCTTTAATCCCAGCAATTGGGAGGCAGAGGCAAACAGATTTCTGAGTTCGAGGCCAGCCTGGTCTACAGAGTGAGTTCCAGGACAGCCAGGGCTACACAGAGAAACCCTGTCTTGAAAAACCAAACAAAAACAAAAACAAAAAAACAAAACAAAACAAAAACAAAAAAAACAACAACAAAAAAGCTTAAATAAATAAATTAATTAACAATAGGAATTTTCTCTCCTGTGGTTTAGAAGGTCAGAAGCCCAACCGAGGCACTGACAGGCCTCTCTACTCCAGGTCCTAAGGAGGCTTCGTGCCTTTTTCTTGTAGGTCGTCATTATATGACGTTTTCCCTGTATGTCTTCTGTATATCCAAACTTCCTTCCATTTTAAAAAAAATTTATTTATTTTTATTTTATGTATATTGGTATTCTCCCTGGATGTATGTTTGTGTGAGGGTGTCAGGTTCCCTGGAACCAGAATTACAGACAGTTGTGAGCCGGCATGTGGGTGCTGGGAACTGAACCTGGAAGAGCAGTCCGCACTCTTAGCTATTGAGGCAGCTCGCCATAGCCCTGTTTATTACCACTGCTTAAACTCTTTTTGGCAATGCTGCAAATTGAAGCAAGGACATTGTGTATCTCTGGCAAACACCAAGTGAGTCCCCTCAACTCTCTAAGCATTTGTTCAAAACGAAGGTGAATTTTCAGGGTTCCCTGTCCCTCTCTGTTCCTCTCCCCAGTGCAGCCACATTGAACAAAACTTTTTTTTCTGCTTTTCATGCTAAAAAAAAAAAAATTGTCATGCTTGTTTCAGCAGCACTTAGACCAAAATTGGAATAATACAGAGATTAGCATGGGCCCTGTACAAGGATGACACAGGAATTCGTGAAGAGTTTCATATTTTTTTAAAAAAATTGTCGTGGTAATTTCTTAAGCCCATATTTAAAACACACACACACACACAACTCAGTTACAACATTTTTAAGCTGCATGTGTAGACTGGGCAGTTCTATCACTACACTACTCTATTCCCCAGCTATGATAGCCCTTGCTGCTTGTGGCTTCTCCAGGCCACTTCTTCTCTGTCTTCCTTCCACCTCCTTTTCCACTGTTCTTCCACCAACCTCCTTTTCTACCTTTTCCTTCTGTTAGGAGCCACGTCCGCCATTGCAACATGGCGCCGGTTTCCTGCTTCCTGGTTCTTCTTGTGAGCCTTGCTTGAATGTGCACCTGCGCAAGGCGCGAAAACCAGTATGCTAATTTGGCGACATCATAAGAGCCAATGAGTGTGTGGCACGTCTCCTAAGGCTCTATATAAGCCACTGGCTTTTGGGGCTTGGGGTCCCTCGCCTCACTACCATCTAAGAGAGCTGTAACACTAAAGGAGCTGTAACAATAAAACTGCTGTCAGAAGAATCCTGAAGCGTGGCGTTCTCCTTTTCGGCGAGGCGGCGCCCCGCAACTGGTGACAGAAACCCGGGAACGAAGCCGAATGTCTCGGCGTTTTATCCAGTTTCGAGGGACCCTGTTGGCTCAACAGAGGATTCAGAACTGGCCGCGCGAGAAGTCTAGACGCTTTTCTGCAAGGTATGGTGGATCCTGTCTATTTTGCTATTGCTATCCCCGTTTGGGCCGTGGTAGTTCTTGTGCTCTGCTTCTGTCTTAACTGCCATACACAAGGGAAGGAGTGTACTTGCCCTCCGTGTATTCAGGAGCTGTAAGTCACAGGTAGATAACTGTGCAAGTTTGTTCCCTCTAGCAGTATGGGTAACCGCCAAATGAAGCCGCTTCTCTCAGCAATGCAGGAGTTGTTGCGTGAGCGTTGTTTAAAGGTTCCCGAGAAAGTGTTGTGTAATTTTCTGCGAGATGTGGATAGAGTAGCTCCCTGGTTTGTATCCACGGGGTCCTTGTCAAAGGGCTCCTGGGGCAAGCTCGGCGGAGACTTGATTAATGAAAAGGAGAAGGGAAAGTTAAGACCAGGCACATGGCCACTGTACAAAATGGTTAGAGCCTGTATAGAGGATGCAAAATGCCAAGATAAGGTAAGAGAGGGACAAAAAGCTTTGGCAGAACACCAGGATAGCCTATCAGAAGCAGAAAAGGAAAAGAGCGCTAAGAATAGAACGAAGAAAAAAGAAATTAAAAAAGAAGTAGCTACAAAAGTGGAACAGAAAGGGCCTAAGAAAAAGTTGTACCCAGAGTTAACTGAGTTTCAGAATTTAAGAATTAATGACTCCGCCTCTGAGGAGACGTCCTCGGGGGACGAAGAAGATACAGAGGATACCGACACCTCATCCTCTGATAGTGTGTTAGATCTTGAGGAACAGGCAGAGTTAGATAAAGAAGCAGCTCGTTATGAGTCTGAAAGATACGGGCTGGATTCGCCTTATGCACCGGGGTATGCCCCATCTGCCCCACCATTGGAGGAAGTAGTTAGAGTTAAAAAGAAAAAACCAAAAGAGAGACAGGAAAGACTGCTGTCCAATTCTCTTATTACAGCTAAGGAGAGAAAAAAGATAAGAGTAGCCTTTCCCGTATGGGAAGATGCTAACCAAGCTAGGCAACATTCACAGCTAGATTTAAAACAATTAAAAGCGCTAGCCGAATCAGTACAGACTTATGGAATCAATGCCTCTTTTACTCAGGCATTAATAGAAAGACTTGTGGTCAGTGCCATGACACCAGATGACTGGTATAATACTGTTAAGGCTTGCCTGACTATGGGACAGTATCTAGATTGGAAATCTATTTTTCAAGAATTTTGTGCTTCACAGGCAAGACAAAATTTAGCTCAGGGGCATCCACAATGGAACTTTGACATGCTTACAGGACAGGGACAATGGGCCATCAATCAAACGGCCTACCCTGTAGAAGTATATGAGCAAATTAATAAGGCAGCAGTAAAAGCATGGAAAAGCCTAACAAAGGACAGGTTTCAGGAAACTTGACAAAAATTATCCAAGGGAACACTGAGCCGTTCTCAGACTATGTGGCTAGGATGATGGAGGCGGCAGGAAGGATTTTTGGAGATCCTGAGACGGCCATGCCTCTCATAGAACAACTCATTTTTGAACAGTGTACTAGAGAGTGCAGAAATGCTATTACACCTTGGAAAGGAAAAGGACTAAATGCATGGATGAAGGCTTGTAGAGAAATAGGAGGACCTCTATCTAATGCCGGATAGGCAGCTGCTGTTTTAGCGGCTCAGAGGGCCTCTAATGTTAAATGTTTCAGGTGTGGAAAACTGGGACACATACAAAGACACTGGCACTACTAATAACATTCATCCAAAGGTGCCTGGAATGTGTCCTAGGTGTAATAAAGGAAAACATTGGGCAAATGAGTGTAAGTCAGTTAAAGACGACAGAGGACGTGTAATTTCTCCTCTGCCAAAAAACGGACAACGGGGCCCACGTCTCCAGGGCCCACAAATGTATGGGGCAATAGAGAGCTTACAGAACAATCCTCAACAACATCAAAGGATAAGACAATCAGGAGAGCCACGTCAGGCTCAGCAGGACTGGATCTCTGTGCAACCGCCAGAGCAGTACTAACACCTACCATGGGGTGTCAGCCTATACCTTCTGATTTCTCAGGACCCTTACCTGAGAATACAGTAGGACTAGTGCTAGGAAGATCGTCTACGACTCTAAGAGGATTAATTGTTCACCCCGGAGTCATAGATCAAGATTATGAGGGACAAATAAAAATCATGTGCTCATCACCAAGGGGGATTAGCTCTATAGCTCCTGGCGATAGAATTGCACAGCTATTAGTCCTCCCTAGTTTACATTCATTCTTTCCTAGTAAAGGTTTAACTAGGGGCATGAAGGGATTTGGCTCCTCTGGAGGACAGAATGTATTTATTTCATTAGATTTAGATAAACGCCCCACCTTAGAATTGAAAATTCAAGGAAGGCTTTTCACAGGCCTCCTAGACACAGGAGCAGATACTACCATTATCTCTACCAATTGGTGGCCAAAGAACTGGCCTGTTAATAGCTCTTCACAAACCTTACAAGGTCTTGGATATGAGTCTGCTCCTGATGTTAGTGCAAGTGTATTGCACTGGGAAGATTCCGAAGGCTGACGAGGGACAGTTGTTCCTTATGTCTTGACACTTCCAGTTAATTTATGGGGAAGAGATATCCTTAAACAATTGGAATTTAGGCTCACTAATGATTATTCTACACAGAGTCAAAAAATGATGAAAGAAATGGGGTGTGCCCCTGGAAAAGGATTGGGGAAGGCCTTACAAGGCAGGATCAGCCCTGTTTCTATTACAGAAAAACAAGACAGGAAAGGGCTGGGTTTTTCCTAGGGGCCATTGAGGGTGCATTGCCTATACCTTGGTTGTCAGAGGAACCTGTATGGGTTCCTCAATGGCCGTTAATCTCTGAAAAACTAGCAGCTGCAAAAGCTCTAGTTAAAGAGCAACTAAAACTAGGACATCTGGAGAGTTCTCAGTCACCATGGAATACGCCTATATTTGTGATTAAGAAAAAATCAGGTAAATGGAGGTTATTACATGATCTTAGAGCTATTAATAATCAGATGCAATTATTACGATCAATTCAAAAGGGTCTGCCACTGCTGACAGCCTTGCCTAGACATTGGGAGATTATAATAGTAGATATTAAAGATTGTTTTTTCTCTATACCTTTACATCCTAAGGACAAAATTAGATTTGCTTTCACTCTCCCAAGTATTAATCATGAGGAACCAGACCACCGATATCAATGGAGGGTCCTGCCAGAAGGCATGGCCAATAGTCCCACTATGTGTCAAATATATGTCTCTTCTGCTATTGAACCAGTTAGAAAACAGTTTCCTAAGGTTAGAATTTGTTATTTTATGGATGATATACTCTTGTGTACCAATAACAAAGAAGTTTTACACCAAGCGTTCTCTCTGTTAGTTTCTACCTTAAAACAGAAAGGACTATCTATAGCGCCTGAAAAGGTTCAGGAAGGAGAGATAGGAAAATTCTTGGGAGCGATAGTTACTCCTGAGTATATTAAACCACAGAAGGTTACTATTAGAAGAGATAAATTAAAAACATTAAATGATTTTCAAAAGTTACTAGGGGATATCAATTGGATTCGTCCCTATTTGAAATTAACTACAACTCAACTTCAACCCTTATTTAAAATACTTGAGGGAGATTCTAACATTACTTCATTGAGAACTTTGACCCCTGAATCGTCTAAAGTATTGTATAAAATAGAGATGGCCATACAACATGCTCAACTAGATAGACTTAACCCCGAATTATCTTTCCAGTTATGTATTCTTCCCTCCCCTCAACAACCAACTGCAGTACTGTGGCAAGAGGGACCCTTGCTATGGATTCACCCACATAGCTCTCCTGGAAAGACTTTAGGCTATTATCCTACCTTAGTTGCAGAATTGGCTTTAAAGGGACTTCAGCTATCCGTGATGCATTTTGGACAATATCCTAATACAATTGTATGTCCTTATACTATGTATCAAATTCAAGTTTTATGTGCATCTCAAGATGCTTGGGCAATTTTAAAATGCTCATTCCCTGGAAATATTGATAATCATTATCCTAAACATCCCTTGTTACAATTTACTCTTTCTAACTCATTTATATTTCCCAAAGTTACTAAGACACATCCTATCCATCAAGCATTGGATATTTATACCGATGGTTCTAAGACAGGCATTGGTTGTTATGTGGTTAATAATGTCCCTACTCGAATTCAGTTTGATTATACATCTCCCCAATTAGTAGAATGTGCTACTGTAGTGATAGTGTTGCAAAGATTTTCAGAGCCTATAAACATAATTTCAGATTCGCATTATGTTGTAGGAGCTGTTAAACAATTAGAAGTGGCTGATTTTATCAACCCTAAAAGCATGGTTGCTGAGATATTTAAAG